AGCCTACGCCGTCGCCGGCGACTCACGGCAGCCCAGCTCCAGGTTGAGCTGTTGTTCAGCATCTTAGCTGTGGAGGGCAGTGTCACTGGCCCTCGTATGTGGGATCCGAACCGGGGCCCTCTGGCATCCCAAGCCAGCTCTTAACACGCCACTTGGCCGGCCCGACATTATCTTTACTTCCAGATGCCTTTAGAATATAAAAAATGTGGTTGGGCATCTTTTTACTAAATAAACATCATCTAAAATTCATCACATAGTATTCCCTTACTATGGCCGATGCCGTAAATATTTTGTGGTGACTTTGTATTGTATTGACTAGATTTTACAAGTTACGTGCGGTTCTTCCACCTGTTACCGTCTGTTAGGTTAAGGAGCTTCCTGTCCAGCATTATTCCATTGATATTAAAAAAAAATTGTCCAGTCTTTTCTGAGTGAATGGTAGTTAGATCAGGTTTCCTGAATGAGAAAAGAGTTAAACGTTAACATGGTAAAGAGGAAGGAGAAACCAAAAAATATTTAATGTCATTATGCATTATAAAGGTACTTAATCACTGGCTAGTTGACATTTTTTGTTTTGAAATGAAGGATAGTAATAATTTATTCCTATTTAAAGTTTTATATTGTGGATCACTGAGGAAAAGGTATATGAAATTTTAAATTCTTTCCCATTACATAAAAAAATTTTGAATTTTAAGAAAATTTTATTTTTATTTCAGGTTAGGTTCTGATGACAGAGTCTGTTTCTGCTTGGGAAGGGATTTAGGATACCCTGTAATGCAGATATTTCTCTTGAAGTCTTACTGTTATACTTTTTTTTTTCACCTTTAGGACAAAGCAACAATAATTCAGATACCTGTGCCGAATTTCGAATAAAATATGTTGGTGCCATTGAGAAACTGAAACTCTCGGAGGGAAAAAATCTTGAAGGGCCACTAGACCTGATAAATTACATAGATGTTGCCCAGGTAAAAAAAAAAAAAAAGTTCAATTTTGTAAGATTCTGCAGTAAACTCATGGCTTTGGAGAAAGATGTGTTCCTCCAGGCCTCTGTCTTATCCCAAAGCCATGCTTTTGTCACTGGTGTTGAGCGCTGTGGTCACAGGAGGTGCGAGGTGCCATGGACATTGAGTCGCGTGGGAACAGACACAGTCACTCCCTTCCGACAGCACTGTTTCCTTTTTCCCAGGCTGACTGACCTCCTTGTTTAAATGAGGAGCTGAGTGCAGTGACTGGTTACACACCCTAGATTTGTCTTTAAAACAGTCTGGCAAACCTTGCTGTATCCCCACTGAACTATTAGCTCTTTGAATAACCGAGTTCATGGTGGGGTTGAACTAACATACCTGTTTATTCACACCATTTCCAACAAAAATTGAGGTGAGGTAGGTTTCAAAATAGATCGGGGTCAAGATAGAAAATGGAATTGTATGTCTGTGTTCGTGAACAAAGGGACATTAAGGCAATGGCCTGATTGGGTCATAGTATCGGTCACGCTTAAGAAGGTATATTCTCTGAAATCCTGGAGAATGGGATCATTAAATATCATGGTTCATAGCCTCATGAAAGGAAGTCTCTTTTGTCTGAAGAAATCAGCCAATCTAATTTGCCATTTAACAGAACTCTCAGTGGTCGGGACTAATTCAATTAGTGTCCCAGCATTTAGTTTGGAATATAGTCATTCCAACAATGTGCCAGCAACAGCTAATCTAAGTGTAAAGAATTATGCTGGAAGATTGGTAATGTTTCCCCCAAAGTACAGTATGGTTATTTTCTTTCTCATTAGAACTAAATGTCTCCTGTCACCATAGAAATTGGGCTTGTCAAAGTTCATCGACAGTATCACTACTGTTATCCCATTTTTTGATTCCTGGAATTGCTTTAAACTGTGAGAATTGGCCAGAGGTTAGCATGGCATTGTGAGGACCCCAGAATTAAGGTAGATGGACATGGTGCATTTACCATCATCTCTTTAATGTAGGTGAATGGTTCCGCAAAAACGTTTGCAGTGAGAACATGTACTGACTGCCAACAGCATCTTATTTTAGAGAAGACAAGTTAGGTAGGCAGTATCCTGACCTAGATGAACAGGATATTGTCAGGGAAACCAGCCGGTATTACCTGCTGTTTTGTTTCTGAATAATTCTAAGTACTGAACCATGTTTGAGAGCAGAGTTCCTCCTGCAGTGCTTATTGGCCCACAGCCCTGGGCTGTGGGGATAACCAGACTCATCAAACACCTGGTGGATATAAAATGGCTGAGAAAAATGGGTCCTATGGCCTTGTGTCCTGATCATTTCATGTGGGGACATTCGTATAAGCTTTCAGTATTTAAAAACCTTTACTTTTCTAATGTAAATACTTAAACCTTGCTGGGATTTGTGAGAAGCATCTCAGTATGTAATTAGGGTTAAACCCAAAGGGATAGAAAATACACCTGGAGTCCAATGATCGGAATTTTGCTCCTATTTGTTGACTATAAAAAAATAGGGGAGGGGGCCGGCCGAGTGGCTCAGTTGGTTAAGAGCTCGCTCAAGAGTGCGAGCTCTGAGCAACAGGGTCCCAGGTTTGATTCACGGCCCAAGTTGAGCTGCCGCTGAGCTGCCAACAGGTGGCAGGATGGCTCAGCTTAAAAAAAAAAAAAAATCACTCCCTTGCAAAAAATAGGGAAGAATTTTTCTGCATCTTTGGAGAGAAATTCTTGCTGGGCTGTTGTGTGTTCCACATTCTTTAAAGGGTTTGGGTTTGTGATAGCCAGATACTAAAATTGACTAAATCAGACTTAATGTAACCATTTTAAATGTATGTCATGTAATTTATTTTTACTTTAAAGCAAGATGGAAAGTTGCCTTTCGTTCCTCTGGAGGAAGAATTTATTATGGGAGTTTCTAAGTATGGTATAAAAGTGTCAACATCAGATCAGTATGTAAGTAATTGGATTTACTAAGGAAAAAATGTGTTTTAGATTTTGGGGAGTTAAGGGCCCACTTGCAGTTAAGTCTGTTCCTGTTGGCAGAGTGGTGGGTTTCTAAACGTTCCTGGCAACTGGTCTTAAAAGTGACCCGCTTCTTGGGGCAGATGAACAGGAACGTCCCTTTGCTTCTCCTGTGTGGTGGGCCCGGCCAATACCCCCGTGCTGGCCCACAGTGCATTTCACCTTAGGGCACCATTGCCAGTTCAGAGCCGCTGTCAGCTTGCAAGCTGGGCATGGAGAACTGGATCGTGACCTCAGACCATCTTACTCCTGTCTTTCTGGAATTTAAGTAGCAAGGTGTAATCCTGGAGGCAAAGTGCCCCGTAACCGAGCATACTAGAATGTCCCTTTGGGTGAAAAACCTGTAAAACTGCTTTCTCCCAGATCCAGGGACATGCTGTTTAAAGCTTCCCAATAAATTCTGCATGGGAAAATCTATTATAATGGAGACAGGCAAAATAGTCCCAATCTTTTTTTCCTGACTTCTGCAGGCTGTTTTACACAGGCATGCTCTGTATTTAATCATCCGGATGGTGTGTTATGATGATGGTCTGGGGGCAGGAAGAAGCTTACTGGCTCTGAAGACCACAGACGCAAGCAACGAAGAATACAGCCTGTGGGTTTATCAGTGCAACAGCCTGGTGAGGTTTTAAGTCACCTTGGGTAGGCTCTTACTCCTCGAACAAAGCGGCAAAGCCAGGGACTATTTAGTCTTTTCAGAGGCCGGAGAGACGTTATCCACTGTGTTTCATACCTGGTGTAACAATGAATAGGAGCTGGAGGGCTGCCACCTGTCCAGACCTACTGTAGGCTGGGAACGGTTTCTCAGGCCAGGGGCAGCACTCGTGTGTCAGGGTCAGAAGGTGCACGGAAAACACGAGCAGGAGAGGGAGTGGTGTGTCCCCCTGGGCCAGGGCCCTCGGCTCTTCTGCACATTCTTCCGACTGACTTGTGGGTCCTTCCCCAAGGCCGCAGTCCTGTGTCCCCGCATGCACAATCCTCCACAGGCACGCAGGAAGGGAGCCCGCGGGGCGAGCTGGGACCAGGCAGGCTGTCCCAGGCTTTCCAAAGTTGCTGGCGTGTAGGTTTAGCAGACGTGTTAAGAGGGTCAGATTTATGTCTTTGCCAGGCAAAGGAAGTTCAGGAAGAGACTGATGAACGTTCAGACTCCATTTTTTTCATTTCATGTAGGAACAAGCACAAGCAATCTGCAAAGTCTTATCCACTGCTTTTGACTCCGTGTTGACATCTGACAAGTCTTGAATTCTACAATCAAGTGGAAATTGACCTCATGTGAAAGTTCAGCTGTTTTCTACGGTTCTGTTTTCAATTTGTGATGTTGAACTATGATGAAAATATGAAGTGATCCCTTGCTCTTGCTGTAGGTTTTCTGAAGAAAAGACAATGTATAAAATACTGATCATTTGTTTTTCTATTAAAATGTGTCTTATTAATAGTGAGTGAACTCTTAATGAAGTTATATACTACTGGGACGAAAAAAGAAACCTCACTTGTCGCTTTTAAATACAAATAAGCTTGGGGCCGGCCGAGTGGCTCAGCTGGAAGAGCTCGCTTGGGAGCACGAGCTCTGAGCAGCAGGGTCCCGGTTCGGATCCCACATATGAGGGCCAGTGACACTGCACCCTCTACAGCTTAGATGCTGAACAACAGCTCGACCTGGAGCTGGGCTGCCGTGAGTAGCCACCGACGGCGTAGGCTGCAATGGGCTGCCGTAAGCTACCGTGAGTGGCCGGCAGCCAGGGTGAGCAGCCGACAGCCGGTGTGAGCTGCCGTTGAGTCGCCGTCCAATGGCTGGTGACTGATCTGCCTCAGCCGGGAAGAGTGCAATGATCACAATACCAACATGGGCCAGTGAAGTGATGTCTTCCACAACTAGATTGAAGAACAAAAGGGCAGCAACTTTTCTGTTCCCCTTCCCCGATTCCCCAACGCTGCTGCCTCCCCAGCACCCCAATAAAATCTTTTAAAAAAACAAAAACAAGCTTAACCCCTTTAAGTGTCATACAAGGCTCTCAGTGAGTAATAAACATCGAGAACTTTCTGAGGAAGACATACGCAGTCTCTGGCTTGGAGCTCTGGTCAGGCAGGTCTGGCCTGGGGACCTGGGTCACGTAGGTTTGGAACAGTGACACCGCCACTCAAGACACAAAAAGTAAAACTTTAAAGTGTATTGTCAGGATGACATGATAGTAAACCACAATATTCATCTCAGGGTTAAGAGAACCTTAAAAGATTATTGCTCATGTTAAAAAATCATAGTATTTAAAGAACCTCATGTACAATAGGCTAGTGTATTTTTTTAAAGGACTTTTTAATACACAACCTTGAAGGATTAAAAACATCAAGAATACCATATCCATTTAAAAGTACTTTATTTTTTTCTAGTCAAATGACTAGTTAACAAGAAGAGTAAATTTATTAAACATGCTCTAATTATAAATCACTGCATTAAGGACAATGAAAATAAGAATTGATTTAGGTTATACAATATATACAGTTGAGCGGCAACTAGACCAAAGTAATCAGGTGAATGAACTGAATATCATACATCTCAAATAGCATTACAAGCTGCATATCATGTTACCCACGCCTAGCAGATCATACAGTAACTGTCAGTCTGTGCACATATTTCCGAGTTGTCATTCCTAGAAGGCAGAACAGATCTGATGGAAAAGGCATGCAAAATGCCAGAATCCTGCAGCTAAGTTCATTAAACGTAAACTTGAAATATAAATAGATATCTACAATGTTTTCCTTTCTCTCAGTTGCTTTCTTTTTAATTTGCAGATAACTAGGAAAGGATATTAGCAGGGAAGTTAATATAATTTATCCTCTGGCAAGAGTCCTATTAATTACTGCACAATAGCACCACCAAATTGTAGACTGGAAAAATATTTCCTAGATATTTATGTACCAGTGAACCTGATAGATTAGTTTGGGAGTGGTGTTCAAATGTTGACATGGATCAACTTTTAATTCCTTATATAGCTGGCACCAAGTAGTCAAAAGGCTGATTACAAGTTACAGATGCGGGAGGATTGTGTTAAAATATACATAAGTGCACTGTGCAAAATACATCTGTTTACTTTCTTAAATCTATGAGAGAATTAACTAAATGAAGGGTTCAAACAACAGAAATTAACAATTAGTGAAAATAGATGTAGTGCTTAAAAAAAAAAAAGACTAATTACAAATGTTTACCCGGAACTTTGAAAGGCAAAAAACAGTTGCCATACAACATCATGAAACATTCCAGTTTGTTGTGTCTTCTTTATAATAGCAACAAAAAATACAATGCAATTAAAAAAACAGTTCTACACTTACAAGTCTTCAATAATAAAGATAGGCTGCTTCAATCAAATGTACCATAAAAATTGCAATAAAAAGCATCATCGCCTCACTTTCCAAGCCTATGCTTAAATTTATTCCTTTACTTTTGGTAAGAATCCAAGTGAACGCTGTATGCCTATTTATTATCAGAGAATGCCAAAATTTCCAATATTCCTCCTATGAACTCAGGCTCACAATGACTAAATAGAGGTATGACAGTCAAGTTCATGAAACTAATGAATTTCGATTTTATCACAACCTAACCCCCCTGCCCTAGTAGCATAAGTTTAAGAATGACATGATGGATGGACATCAATAGTGAAACGGGGATGCTCTGGCGTTATTACCTGGGTCCTACAGTTTCCTGATATGCTCCCGATCACAAACAAATGGACAGGTTAAATTTCAAGACAGTGTAACTACCATTCCTGTCAGTATAGCATATAAATACAAGACACTAAAGTGAGTAAACATTCTCATGAGCTAGAAAGGGAAGGCAGTGGTACGTACACTCAACATGAAACAGCAAGTAGGTGGTAATTAGCGGGGGCTGCGCCACGGTATTTATCTGTGTGATGAAGTTCACGAAGGCAAATTCCAAACACCTAAAGCATATAAATGAGTTGATAAAACTGTTTTGCACTCCATCATCCTTAGAACTAAGGATGATGGAGTGAAAAACAGTTTTTTAACCAAATTCAGGTAATGCAGTTTTCTAGAACCCGGAACTGAATTAACTGCTACTTTACTGTATGCCCTAGTAAACTACTGGCAGTTTTGTTAGGATTGTTCACAACAGGCTACACACACATGCAGAATACAATGATAGTTGCAACCTCACAAATTAGGGTCAGAAAGTATAACGCTAATGGGGAAATTTCCAAGTTGCTTTAAATAAACACTGGGTGGATTTCAAAGGAAATCTTTAAAGATATCTTTAAAAAAAAAAAGCCTTAAATGGTGAACTGATAGCATTTTATCTTTTAGAAAGTCCAGGCTGGTCATGGACTTTTAAAGCAACAGTTGACTGGCTTCCTAAAACAATAATTACGCTAACGGTCACTGACTTCAGAAACGGGCCAAGGAACGCAGGAAGAATGTCTATCCAATACTCCAGTTTTTAGGTTCACCTAATTCTGTAGATCCAAGATCTCGATTATGTAGTTAAAATAACTTTGCAGTTCACCTTTTAGGAAATTCTGTTTTTCCTAATAAAAGTATAGTAATGTTTCATGAAAATCACAAATTATAAAAACAATTCTTTTATATATATAAATTGCCTTTGAGTTTTAAAAACAGAACAGTGGCATTAGAGATAGTGGGCTACTGTACAATCCATGAAACTGGTTATTTGGCAAGAATCTGGGTACCCATAATGAAACAGGAACAACAACTGTTAAGTGTTTTTGTTCAGTAGCAATTTAGTCGGCAATAAAGTGCACAAAAGATACAGGAAATGCTCCTTTGCGACTGGGATCTCCATCAATGTGGCCAATCTGAAATGAATAAAAGTTTAGGTTGTTATAAAAATTCCACATGTTGGAAGCTTTAAAGGGCATTGTAGCATTTGGAGAGAAAAAAAAAAACCCTTTGGAGAATCACTTGGGTAGAACATCTAGAATGTTTCTCCGTCTTTCTTTCCCTCACGTTTCAAATAGCGTGGCCTGCTCTCGTTAAGGAGCTCCTGTTAAAGGTGTATCAGGTGTCTGCACGCACACGCACCACTGAGCCCTGGCAGTCTTGGGGGCAGACAGGACAGCTATCTGACAACACGCCCCACCCCCTCAACTTGCCTTCTTTTTAATGGATAAAGAAACTTGATCCATTAAAAGTTTGTGAGCTGCATAGTCACAGAAAGTAGCAAATGTGACTTGGCCCCACTTAAACGTCGTCAAGCATTTATGAAGACCAATAAATCCATTTATTTTGGCTCTGGGTACATTATATAAATTTACATAAAAATTATATTAATCATCATGTATGATCTCAACAATGTAGATAAAGTCTAAAAGAAAATCATCAAAACAAATTTTTTTATGGGCAGTGTTTACTTTCTTCTTTCTACCTTTCTGTATTTCCACAGGTGTGAAATGAACAGGTATTTTCCAGATGCCTCAGCCTATTGTCAGGCTGACACCCCATCCTTACGGTGGGTTGTGCAAGTGTGAGAGGAAGACCTGCTTCAGGTGGAAGTGTGCCGGCAGCCGGGGGTGTGTCAAAGTTTAGGACCTCACGCGACCCTCAGTCCTCACCCAGCAGGCCACACAGCAGGAGCTCGGTAAGCAGAGGCCCAGTGAGCTTGCCAGAGCCAGGGAGCTCTGGACCAACACACACCTTAATCCCTCAAGGAGAAAGGGGCCACCGAAGATGCTGGAAGCCGGCCATACCCGAGGCAGAGTTCCCAGAGCCCGTGGAGGCGGAGGACTCACACAGCTTCCCCAGGGATGCTGACTAACTCCCACTCGCAGAGCAGCGCGATTCCCACCCCTCGTATTTGCAGCTCACGACAACCACAAACGACCTGGTGTCTGAGCCCCGTCTACAGAGCGCGGGGCCTTGGTGTCTGCTGCGTGGCAGATGCTGCCAGATGCTCTGTGTTCACACTTCATGCAAGTTCCTTAATCCTACCGCCCTCACATGCTAATGGCCGCCTCTCCTTGGGGGCCTGCTGTATATCTACCCCAGTGCTGTCTGTGGTGACCTCCCTTTCACAGATGAAGTGACTAAGGCTTAGTGGCATAAGCGACTTGCCCAAGTCACCCAGCCTGTACGTGCTGAGTCTGGATTCTTAGGGTCATCGGGGAAGTGTCATGGTTCACTGCACCCGGACGCCACAGCTAATTTCTGGACCAAGGCCGACACCTGAGGACTCTGCCCTTGAGCTCAGCTCTCTCTACTTGCCTCGCTCCACCAAACTGATAATACTCAGGGCGGGTACCACCTAGAAACTCAAGGTCTCAAGCTCAGGGAGCTCATTTCAGACCCTCAGGTATACTCTGCAAACTGCAGCCCAAGGGGCCTGCCCGCCCTAATAAGGGACAGCCCCACCGGAGGACCAGTCAGGCCCACTCAGAAGTGGGCGTACAGAGAAGAGACATCTGAGGCCAGC